ACTCTCTGCTCCATGCTGTTGTTAACTTCCTGCTGCTGAAGGTCAATGTTTCCACTTCCCCACATCCTCCACAGCCTCGCTCTCCACAGTGAGTCCTGCATCTGGTTCAACTGCATCTGGAGAAAATCACATCAAACTAAAGTTATAGTTGTAACTGTGACTCTGAATGTGAAGTGGGCCTGTTTGATTCAGAGCAGGAGGCTCTAACCTGACTGGACTTCACAGCATGTGTTCCTGCTCCTCTGTGTCTTCTGTCTGTGCTGCAGTGACGGCTGACACGTTCTCATACACAACATCCACCTGATGACAGACGATAAGATTTGATCAGAAATATGTTTCATCAGGTTTTACAGTGATGTAGGAAAAGATTGATTAGTAAGGTCTCTCTCTCTCTCTGTCTCTCTCTCTCTCTGTCTCTCTCTCTCTCTCTCTCTCTCTCTCTCTCTCTCTCTCTCTCTCTCTCTCTCTCACCTTGATCATCTCTGCAGGTTCATTTGGTTCAGTGGTGGAGTTCAGAGTTTTCTTCTTTCTGGATTAAATCAGAAAACAACAAATCCAAAGGTTAACATGATGAAGGTCAAATAAAACCTAAAACTAAAATAAGTTCAAGAAGAAAATAAAAGAGATGTGTGCTGACGGATGAATTTGTATGGTGTTTACCTCGTCCACAGAGTCAGGAGAAACAGAGAAATCAACATCAAGAGCAGCAGAGTCCACTTGATGATATGTATTATGAATGTTGAGTTCCCTGAGAATTAAAGATAGATATGTGAGACTCTTTACTGGTAGGATTAGATTGAAACATTTCATTTCTACTTTGTGATACCCTCTGTTCATCATTCAGTCACACTCTGACAGGATGGAGGTTCCTCTCTGAACATCGTTATGATTTTCTGTTTATTAAAATGTGAATCTGTTTTCTGCACCAGCTGCAGGCATTGAATGGTCGACTGGTTCAAACCCACATTAAGAGAATTACAGTGGTCGAGTCGAGTCGTGATGAATGCATGTATCTCCCTCTCTAAATCATTACAGGGTTAGAGTTGGGCTCTAAACTTCAGAGATTTATTGAAGTGCTGTTTGGTACTTGAAGGTAAGAAAATACAACCAACAATGACCTTATTTTAACCACAAAAGAACCTGCTGTAACTTAAACTGGAGTTCATGTTAATAACAAACTTATATATCTGAAGACAAGAAGATGGAAGATGATGACATGTAACAATGAATCTTGAGTCTTGTAATGGGACGACTCTTGGCCTTCTCTTTTACCTACTGAGCAGCTTTCAACTCAACAACAACAGAGTCTAACAAGAATTGTTTAATCAGACCGAAGCTGTGTGTGAAGCTTACCTGACAAAACAGTCAGATGTACAGTGGAGTTATGACGTCCTCTTGTGTTCTGAGCTACAGTAATATCTCCCACTGTGTCAGACTGTTGAGATGCTGAAGATCTGTCCTGAAGCTGTTGGTGAGTCTTCATCCTCCTTGTACCAGGTGTAATTAGCTGCTGGGTTAGCATCACTGCTACAGTTCAGAGTCACTGAACTGCCCTCCACTATCTCAGCAGAGGGACTCACTGACACAGAGGGAAACTTTGGAGCATCTGGAGGAGGATAAAGGTCTCTTTTAAACATAGAATGAACATGTAAATCTTTCAGAGTTTATTTCAGTGGTCTAAAACTTAAAATATTAGAAATACAGCATTTTTAAGTTTATTATTCCAGCTGTGAAGCATTAGTCCTCATGTCCTGTTAGAATCAGTATCTTTTATTTGACATTCTCTCAGTCTAAAGCTGTAGAGATGTGAACTTCTCTATGAGTTAAAATCCTTTTGAAACAACATATCTTTGAAAGTGATAAATACTGATGATCCTCCTGCTACAGCCCTGATCTCTAACCATCCACGGTCTCAGCAGAGAGACTCACTGACACAGAGGGAAGCTTTCATGCTTCAAAAAGAGACGTAGTTTAATAACTGACCTTTAAATGAAAACAGCATTTAGTGAAAAGGTTTCTGAAGATTTGAAAGTCATTAACAGACAGGATAATCAAGGTGTGAGCAAACTATGAAACTACAGAGAAATCAGGTCAGTAAGGAAAGTCTCCAAATGTTGAATGTTGCTGTTTAAAGTGTTTCACTCACATTTCACATCAATAGAGATCCATTTATAGGTCGGCTTTCCCAGATCGTTCTCAGCTTTACATGAAAACTCTCCAGAGTCAGAGGACTTGATGGAGCTGAAGACGAGCTGAGCTTCTCTACTGAGAGGTTGATTGTTATTCTTCTTGTACCAAGTGTATTCAGATGCTGGGTTAGCATCACAGCTACAGGTCACAGTCACTCTACTGTTCTCTCTGATTTCACCAGCAGGACTCACAGTCACTGAACAATCTGTTGGGAGAGAAGAATAAAAATATAACTGAAGTGTCATTAGATCTGTGTTTGTATTTCAGTGTCCGCCCAGCTTTAGTAAACTGAAGGCCTTCTCTAAAGCCGGCGTTTGTTTTGTCTTTTCTGGTTCATTATAGGAACACGTGAAGCGTAAATGTAATAAAGAGCTACTTCTTGGAAATCATTAACATAATGTAACCCAGGTTATTTCTGTAGTTTCATATTTACAGATGTTCCTTAAACGCATTACAGATTTACGCAAGTTCCTTGAATGCACCACTGCAGGCTATCGGTACCCTCTGAAGCATCGGCACGATGAAGTTTTTCTCCGTGATTTCTACAGACTGTGAAGTAAAATAGACACATAAAAAGGAAGCTGTTAGACAGGAAGATGAATAAGATACGTTCATGAGCTGTTTCCAAGAGTTAAAAAGCTTTTAGTGAAGCTGGGAGTTTCTCCAGTCACAGTGTAGGAGAAGTTCACCGGCAGAAACTCTGAAGGTGTTCTCACCTTTAATGTGGATATCCTGGTGAGTTAGCTGTTCAAATTAGCTGACTAGCATGCACATTTCATTGTTAAAATGTTTCAGTTGTATTTAATTTGAATTCAAGATGTCATAGAACTAAAACCAGTCAGGATATTTGGTGTAAATTGAAGTTTGGATGTAATGTGGTCTGTGTTTACCTAACTGTGGCCTAGTAGCTACGAGCTAAGCTAAGCTCTGTATCTGTGTGTAGCACGCAATGTCATTTTTTTCCATGTGATGAAGTCACTTGGGACACAAATTGATAAAAAACAGTCACTTAGTTCATGTGTTATTGTTGTGTTAAAATCAAATTAAAACTGTGAAGTAACTGGGTCTTTTCTGAGGGACGATTCAACCGCCGTCCAGGTCTTTGCTGCTTGAGGGTGCTGTCGTCTCATCTGGATGCTGATCTGCAGATAATGTGTTGTTCCAAAGAGAGGTAGGAAGCACATATGGAGTCTAACTGAAAGGATTTTTATTTTTATTTGCACTTTTTTTTTCTGAGATCTCAGTATGTTTTGTTTTGGGCCTAAAATCTAACATTAAAGGAATCTCTTTTCATAACCGAAAAACAAAGTTGAAACGGATAAAGACTGAAACCTTAAAAGGGGATTTAATTCATTTTGTTACAAAGGTGTGTTTTCCATCTTGTCTTTTCGATTTGTTTAATTTAAGATATATGGAAGAGGTATTTTTTTATTTAAAGTGTATACATGTTTCATATATGTGAACAGGAAAAGAACTGTGATCAAACCTCTTAAATACGTTTCTCTTTTATATCCATACATCGGTGTTGTGTGTGTTTGTGTGGACTGGAGGTCTTATTGCTCTTTATAGAGTCTGCTACGACCAATCTCCTTAAACAACCTAGTGAATCACAAGGTTTGAGTAACCTGAACAACTGAAACGCTAACATTCTGAAACTGTTCATTTAGAGATCATTTGATATTGATACTTAGAACATTTGATCTAGAGTCTTCTGAATTGACAACCTATTTTAGGTTTAACCCCCCCCCCCTGGTTAGAGGATACAATAACAAACTTTTAAAGTAATTAAACTCAAGTAAAAATATTTTAAATCGTCACATTAAAGTCCTGATTAAATCTCACACACTGGTCCTTTAACTTGAATCTGTCAAAGAGACTATAGTAGTGTGTTTATTTGTAGGTGAGAGTTTCTTCTTTACACATAATATCTTCAAGAACATTTCTGCTGTTTCACTCACATTTCACATTGATAGAGACGTATCCAGACCTCTTCCTCCCCAGCTTGTTCTCAGATCCACAGTAATACTCTCCAGAGGCCGAGGGTTGAATGTAGTTGAAGACCAGCTGTGCTCCTTCATGAAGGTATTGAGGGGTCTGATTTCTCTTGTACCATTTAAAAGTAGCTGCTGGGTTAGCATCACTGCTACAGGTCAGAGTCACTGAACTGCCCTCCACTATCTCAGCAGAGGGACTCACTGACACAGAGGGAAGCTTTGGAGCATCTGGAGGAGAATCAGAGAGACCTTTGTCATCCACATCAGATGATGATGATGAACATATTACATTCTAACTTAGCTTTTGGTTTTGAAATTGAGGCTCATGACAGCTGAATAAAGGTTTTTTTTTTACATTGAAACAGATAAACAGGACATTCTATGAAAAATCTAAATAAATAACAAATACCACTGAGGTACATGCTGCTATGAGGCACCATTTAATAGTTTAAAGATTCCATCTGATGGTGTGAATCAGTGAAGACTGTAAATAAACTCACACACTGGAGGAGACGGGCACTTCTCATGTCCTGATAGAGCACAGGAGTAACTGTCTGTCTGAAGAAGCTGCTCTGGTGGATAATAATAATAATGTTTGATGTTCGATTTGATGTCCGTTCCTGAACCAGATGTAGGAGGTTTGACTGGAAAGTCCACTGAGACACTGAAAGAGCAGAGCCTCATGTGGTCTGCTCACCTTCACCTGGAGATCTGAACATGTGAAGAAACGTCAACTGTTTTCACAAAACATGCACATATTAAAACATGTATTTATAATGTATTAGAAACAGTGAGCTCAGAAATATTGAGGTGAAAGATTACCTGTGACTGACAGAGTGACCCCAGGTCGTCCAGAATAACTGCTTTTGTTTGTTATGAATCTAAACCTGTACACAGTCGAGTCTGTCTCTCTCAGGTTTGTGATGCATTTGTTCTCATCACAGATATTCTTCACACGACCTGAATACTCTGAGTCTGTTTCTACATCTTTGTAATGAAAACCATCTTTTCTCAACCAGAATGTTTTCTGAAGTGAGTTAACTTCTTTTTTCCTCTCTGGGTATGTGAAGGTGCAGTTCATCTCCACAGTTGATCCTTTATAAGCACAGATCTGAAGAGAAGAGTAAGTCACTCTCCAGCTGTCCTGACCCTGAACCACTGTAACACAGAGCACATCAGGAAACAACCATCAACATCCATAACTTTAAAAAGAAAAAGGAAAAGTCTCTACATATGAAAAAAAACGTTCGTATCCAAACAGGAAGTAAAGCACCCTTAACATAAAACAGTATAATATCTACAATAAAAGCATAACATTTAAAATGTAAAATAATGGAACTTCAAACATGTGATTAAAGATATGATTAATCATAAATGTGTAATTGTTTGAAAGCCCTAGTGCAGGGGTCTCCAACAGGTAGCTCGGAGCAGGCAGGTTTAAAGTAGCTCACCTATAGGTTGACCGACTGTGTTAAAAAAATAAAAATAAAAATAAATCAGTGAATGTACCTCTTCCCACTATTCATATATTTGGCCCATTAAAACAAGTGTAAAGAAGTAATGTTTTCTTGGACATTGATGTGAATTCTCAGCAACATAGCTTACAATAAGAAGTGTAAAATATTCATGTTTTTTTCTTGGACCTTGATGTGAATTTAAGATTCTTGATAAGCATTGGCTTTTTGCAATTTCACACGTGTACAAACAGTAGCTTCATTCAGCTGATGTAAATGAATGCAAGAGATTTGATTGGCCACTTTCATTTTTTCAAAGAAGCTCTCAGATGAAGAAAGGTTGGAGACCCCTGCTCTAGTGTAAAAATAGACTGTATGTTAAAATTGACGGTGCAACGGCTGCAGTCAAAGCCGAAAGATTTAGAGCGCCCCCTGCTGACTGGCTGCAGTATAGGTCAAACTCCAACCTCCTCCATGATAACAGAAAGGCCATGGGGGTCAACAATGAAATCTAAATGCATGCATCTGTTCTTCTGTTGACTGAACACACCTGAGGGATTTTTATGTTTCTCTGTACGTTAAATGTTTTCGTTAGAGGAAGTAGCGTGACGTCTTCCAGTGGATCCCTACTACGCAGACTCTGGTTGCAAATATGCAATATGTAAGCGCCCATCATGAGGATATTTGGCTTCATCTTGTTCAACAGAAGGAGCCTGAGGGATGTTGTCCATTTGTATATACAGTTAAAGGAAGAGTAGAAGATGTTCACTTGTTTCTACAGTTAATCTGCAAGTCGTTGA